TATATATATATATATATATATAGATAGATAGATAGACAGACAGATAGATAGACAGATAGATAGACAGATAGATAGACAGATAGATAGATATATAGATAGATATATAGATAGATAGACAGATAGATATATAGATAGATATAGATAGATATATATAGATAGATAGATATAGATAGATATATAGATAGATATATAGATAGATATATAAATCTATATATATAAATCTATATATATAAATCTATATATATAAATATATATATATAAATCTATATATAAATATATATACATAAATCTATATATAAATATATATACATAAATATATATAAATATATATATAGATGTCTGTATGCATGCATGCATATGTATGTGTGTGTGTGTGTGTGTGTGTGTGTGTGTGTGTGTGTGTGTGTGTGTGTGTGTGTGTGTGTGTGTGTGTGTGTGTGTGTGTGTGTGTGTGTGTGTGTCTCCTCCTCATGCAATCCATCCTGATTTTCTGTTAATCTTCTCCCCTCCTCTTCTATTCCGCGGAAGGGGGCGGAAGGGGCGGATAAGAAGCCCTGTTATCGCATCGCCGATAAGAGATCCACCACACCGAGCGGGATTACGAGGAAGGAGATCGCCTTAATTTATCCGAGGTTCACTTCCTTCATCAATCCCCCCCCCCTCCTCTCTCTCTCTCTCTCTCTCTCTCTCTCTCTCTCTCTCTCTCTCTCTCTCTCTCTCTCTCTCTCTCCCTCTCTCTCTCTCTAAATGTATGGGGTATGGGGACGGGGAGAGGGAGAGAGGGAGAAGGAGAGAAAGATAGAAGAAATAGGGAGTAGAAAAAAAAGAGAGAAAGAGAGAGAGTAGAATAGAGGAGGAGAGAAGAGAGGAAGGGAAAGGAGAGAAAAGAGAGGAGAGAGGAAGAAGAGAGAAGAGAAGAAAAAGAGAGGCGCCGAGAAACGCGATCCGACAACGGAAGCCAAACACGAGAGCGAGAGGACAGGACCCAATCTACAACCCCCCCTCCCCCCCACCTGCCTCGGCCAGCGGTAGGCCAAAAAGAGCGTTAATTACCCGGGCACTCAAGCCTCCCTCGGAAACAGGAGGTCAATCAATACCATAATCACTCTGGTAAGCGGTGGGGGAGGGAGGAATGAGGGAGGAAAGAGGGAGGAAGGGTGAGAGAGAGAGAGAGAGAGAGAGAGAGAGAGAGAGAGAGAGAGAGAGAGAGAGAGAGAGAGAGAGAGAGAGAGAGAGAGAGAGGGGAATAGTTAGAGGGAGGAAAGAGAGAGAGAGGGAAAAGGTCGAGGGAGGAAAGAGAGAGAGAGGGAAGAGGAAGGGAGAGGGAAGAGGTAGAGGGAGGAAGAGAGAGAGAGAAGGAAGAGAGAGAGAGAGAGGAAAGAGGTTGAGGGAGGAAAGAGAGAGAGAGGAAAGAGGTAGAGGGAGGAACGCGAGAGAGAGGGAAGAGGTAGAGAGAGAGAGAGAGAGAGAGAGAGAGAGAGAGAGAGAGAGAGAGAGAGAGAGAGAGAGAGAGAGAGAGAGAGAGAGAGAGAGAGAGAGAGAGGAAAGAGAGTGAGAGAGGGAAGAGGTAGAGGGAGGAAAGGGGGAGGAAAGGTAAGAGAGAGAGAAAGGGAAGAAGTAGATGGAGATAGAAAGAGAGGGATAAGAAGTGAGAAAGGAAGGGATGGGGGGCAAGAGGGAGAGAGACAGACAGAGGGATGAAGGAAGAGATGGGATTGATGGTGGGAGGAAGAAAGGGGAGGAGGGGAGGGAGAGTGGCAAAGAGAGAGGGACAGGGAGAGAAGGCGATGGAGACTAAGAAAGAGGGGAGAAAGAAAGAAAGAAAGAAAGAAAGAGAGGGAGGGGGGGAGACAGAGAGAGAGAGAGAGAGAGAGAGAGAGAGAGAGAGAGAGAGAGAGAGAGAGAGAGAGAGAGAGAGAGAGAGAGAGAGAGAGAGAGAGAGAGGGAGAGAGAGAGGGAGAGAGAGAGGAGGGGGGGGTGAGATGAACACCCCATGTACCTTCCTCACCCCCCTCCTCACCCCCTCCCCTCCCCCAGCGATCTGAGGGGATGCCCGGCGCGTAATTTTAGTACCGAGACGTCACGCGCTGCCACGGCCTCAGGATGACACGGGCAGAGGTGTCACCTTTGCCTCCTCTCCTCTCCCCTGTCCTATATCTTATCTTGTTCTTCTCCCGTCTTACAATTTATCTTGCTCTTCTCCATTCTTCTATATTTTGTCTTATTGTTATTATTATTATCATCATTATGAATCTTATCCGTAGTGCTGTTGTTCTTACTCTATATATTTCTCTATCTCCTTCTTCTTGTTCTTCTTCTGCTTCTCCTTCTCCTCCTCTCCCCCTCTGTCATTCCTGTTCTCTCCTTCCTTCTTCTTCTCAATCCCCTCCTCATCTTCCTGCTCTTCTTTCATTTATCGATTTTCGCGCTCCCCTCTTTCTGGCTCTGCTCATCTTACTCCTCTGTCTCCCTTGTTGTGGCTAATTTAATATTCAGATCACTTCATGCATAAAGATTAACAAACAAACTCCGAATAAATTTCAGCACGAGAGAAGAATTAGGAAAAAATAAAAATAATGAGACTAACCTCAAAGAGAAAGTTGAGGTCCATAACGTTAACAACAACAACAACAACAACAACAACAACAACAACAGCAACTGTAGATACACTGGCTACTGTAAACATAACTATAAAGGTAGGCCTAGTCAAAGCTTTCCTGCCCATTTTTCTTCTTTCCTTTCTTTCTTTCTTTCTCTCGTTCTCTCTTTCTCTCTCCCCTAACTCCCTATTTTTTTTTACTTATCTTTACATTCTACCCGTTTTCCCGAACTCTATTTCTAATACATAATATTTTTTCTTGTTTTATCTTCTCTCTCTTCTCTCTAATTCCCTTTCTTCCCCACCCACCCCAATCTTTCACATATTTGTTTGCCTGCCTGTTTACTCTTTTACTTTACCCACCTGTCAATGTACACAACGCACCCAACCATCACAGCTGATTGAAGCCACGTTGTTCAAGGTCAGTGCTCACATCACTTACACCCCCCCTCCCTT